CAAACCTGGAACACTATTAAGAAGATTGGAGTAGGCAAATCCGTAGAAAATGCTCCCTCCACTTCGGATGTCAATGAGCTAAATAAGTCCTTTGTAAGACAAACTGTATCTGGTGATAATATATGTTATGAGTACTACCGTGATCGTGTAAATGTTATGTTGATGATTGCGATGTTGTCCAAGCCATACTCTCCATTAAGTCCAAAGCAGCTGGACTTGATGGAACTAGCTCAGTCTTTCTTAAGATTATTCTACCAAAGGTTCTGCCACATTTGACTTTCCTAATCAATGCTATTTTGACAACTTGCGTTTTTCCGAAATGCTCGCTAAGGTTATACCTATTCGGAAGACAAATAATGAGTTCCGGCCTATATCTGTTTTGCCTTTCTTGTCAAAAGTAATCGAGCGTATCCTGCACAAACAAATCTGTGCATATGTGTATGATAACAGTCTCTTGACTGACCGCCAATCGGACTTCAGAGCTAGAAGAAGCTGCACCACGGCTCTTTTGGATGTAACGGAGAGCATCAGTTTTCTGACACTTCTCGACCACTCGAAAGCTTTCGACACTGTGGATCATACACTTCTATGCCTTAAATTGAGAAACTTATTTAATTTCGCAGGTCACGCAACTGCTCTGATCAGGTCTTACCTTGGCGATAGAACTCAAGCTGTGAGTATTGGCGGCATAACGTCAGATTTCCTGGCCGTATCTAAAGGAGTACCGCAAGGGTCAATCCTCGGCCCGCTTCTATTCATCCTATACATTAATGACCTTCCTAAAGTGTTGAAAAACTGTAATGTACACATTTATGCTGATGATGTGCAATTGTATGTAAGATGTTCTGTTATACGGTGGACAAATGGGCTCGATTATTTGCATAACCAGCCCTAATTTGCTTTTCCTCTTTAAAATGGGCATAAGCAGCCGAACAAATGCACGAAATGTTTGGGAATTAACTCGGATACGGGGAATTTTCGATGACAACACTGGTAAAAACGACCAGTTGTTGTCTTTTGTACAAGTAAGCAAACGAAGCAGTCGAATTTTGCGTACGCGGTAGCCGAGTGGTGAGAATTGCGAGCCACAAGCCTGTAGCTGCCAGGTTCGATCCTCGGTTGGAGCGATTGCGAAAAATTTTTTGTTTTTATTATTTATTTTATTTTATTTATATATTTAATTTTACTTTATTTTATTTTCATTTGCTTTATTTTATATCACATTTCTTATTTCACTATAAGTTAATTTTAGTTTTTAGAGATGAATTTTGTTAAAAAGTCAACAACAACTAACTGAAAGCAACGTAAAAAAACATAGAACTTATAAAAAAGAACTGGCCGTGGGACTCGAACCCACGACCTTGTGGTTGGGTTATTCGCATTACTGCCGTCTGTAAGGGTACAATTTTAATTTGCATTTATGCTTGTTAATTCAAATTAATTTTCTCCGTCTGTCTACCATATTAGTCGTGTCCGTAATTGTATTAGTGACCTAAATTCTGATTTGTCTCGTGTAAATTTATGCAAATTGTGACTGTGTATGTAAGAAAAAGTTAAATTTTGTCTATAACAACATTGCCAGGTATGTGTACGCGCTAAAAAGACTTGACCATGTCTCAGCATTTTCTAAAAAGTTATTCAGCGTTTCGTTTGATGACCTATTAAAAGTTAGAACACTAGTTGCCTAACACAAAATTATAAATTCCAAGAAGCCTAGTTATTTGTACGAAATACTTCAATTTCTCCAATCATCGAGGTCTGAACTTTTAGTACACACCACCCTTGTCTCTGAACGTAAGTTTTTTTAATCAATTCCATATGACTTTGGAACTCTCTTCCTATTAGATTACGAAAACTAAAAAATGCGCTACCTTTTAAAAACCAATTACCTAACTATTATAGCAATGAATGCAATTAATATATAAATTTGTTTACTCTGTGTGTACCTGAAATTCCTTCATATTATTATATACATTTTATTTTTTCTTTTTCTTTTTATTTTCTACTTATTATTATTTATTTTTTCTTCTGTTTCCCCCGCCCTCTCCCTCTTTTCCAAATACATAAGTATATTCTAAATTGCCATACACTGTATCATATACATATGTTATTTTAGATTTAATAAAAAAATTGTAAACGCTTGACTAGCACTATAAAATAATTGTAAAATTGTGGTGTTAGGATAAATCAATAAACAAAAAAACAAACAAACAAAGAGAAATATACAATTTGGACGTTAGTTGTTGTTGTGGACGTTTTTTTAATTTATGGCTCACTATTATAAAATCACATAACGCTGTTTGCAAGTGGACTACTCATTTGTGCAATATTAAAAAAAATCACTAAACTTTCGTACAAATTTCGAACTTTTAAAAATTCTTTATTCTAATAGAATTCAATGGGCTACAAAACTGCATACTCAGAATTTAATTAAAAAACTGTAAATTTGAAAGAAAATTTGTAGTTTTGTTTTTAATTGCATATATTTTTAAGGCAGTGTCACTCGAATGGTACATTTGTACAGATTAGTAAATTTTTATATTGGGCTATTGGTAAAAAAATGGGAATTTTTTTTTTGTAGTCAAAAGCTTGGTACAATACAGCGCTGTTCTATTGAAAAATTTCAATAAATTAATTTTCGTGATTGGGATAGTGAAAAATATTCTGGGTGTTCAAACAATTGGGATACGATTTACACCAAATTTTGGCAAACTCCCAATCGTGTGACACTGCCTTCAAACTTGTACTTATACGGATGTTGTTAAAGAACGAACTATAAAAAACTAACCGAAATTAAATAACAACAAAAATAATATTTTAAAACTTGTGAAATTTGGTGCGGCTATAATTTTTTCGACTACTGTACATACGTTGGCTATGATTACTCGGCCGTGCTATCATAGTAGCACAATGCCACTCATCTTTGACTTACAAACAAAATACGGGCAGGAATTTCAAGATTTCAACCCTGTTTTATGATTTTTTTTTTTTTTATCAGAAAAATATCCTATATTTTAATCCTGGCAATAAGCTACCTACATACGTGCCAAATTTCAAGCAAATCGGACCATAAATAAGACTTTTTCGAATAGATCGGTCCACTTAACGGAAAAAATTGATCCTATATGCTAATCTAGGCAAAAGGCTACCTACGTACCAAGTGCATTTTTTTTTAGCATAGCTCGACCCCTGTACCACCTATAGGAAAAAATTAAAACTTTGTGCACTCCTTGTAAAGACCTTTCCAAAAAAGCAGCAACCATTTGAATCGGTTATGAAACATATGACGAAATTGGGCCCAATTAATTATGCTCACAATGAATTTCACAATTATCCTTAATTTTCCAAGCTTCACATCACCAAAATCGTGCGATAAAATGCAAAATTCCGTCGAAAAAATTCAAATTTTTCGCGTTATTCCGGATTTTTCCGAGTTTTTCACTTAGAATTTTCTATTTTTCCATTCGAAAGCCTTTCCGAAGAAATTGCTCAAAAAATTCCATAAAAAAATGAATATTCGATTTTCCTGACTTTCCCGGAGGGGTTTCCCTTCTCCTGGCAATTACGAACAACTAAGAAAAAATTTTTGCCAAATCGGCCCAACCGTTCTCAATTGACGAATTACTATACATTTTTCACACCATTTTTATATATACAGATAAGGAACAGCTGTTCGTAAACGGCGGTGTCCGACTGAATTTCAGTTTTTTTGCAAAAGTATACATACGTATGTATCTTTTCCTGTCATAAATATATCGATGGTCCTCTACAATAACGACACAATTCAAAATTCAAAAAATAAAATCTCGTACTATTGTTAAGTGGCTCATGTCTTTAATTGTTGTCTTATTCATGTATAATCTTTACTACTTTGATGTTTTCCAAAGAAATATTTTAAAAAGCGCAATAAAACCATAATAGCTTTATTTCCATTTCTAGTTGGAAATAAGGCCGTATCGAAATTATAGCTTTATTTCCAATCGCCATGCGAAATAAAGCCATTATGGCCTTATTGCGTACGGTGTTATTGCATCCCACCATATTTTATATGAACTTACATAAACACAAGTTTCATTGTTGAACACATTTACATAAACCATAAATGGAAAATTACAGCATTTCTTTATCTAAATAGTTTAAAGCAAAAGATTAATGGACAAATACAAATTTTAATTGCAAAGTGAAATATTGTGGGATATAAATCTCAAATATGTTATAAGTGCAAATTGCGAAAGAATTTGTGATAACGTAACGATGCAAGTTATATGTGCATTCAGAATTAAATCGAGATAGCTGTTTTATTACTTTACCTGTTTATTCACCATTGGTTCAAGTATTGAATTCTATTCTGTATGCAAATGGAAGAGAGGGGGTGAGAAGAAAAGCGAAGAGTACACATGCGTCCGTACCGTCAAGGCGTTTGAAGTTTCTTGCTTTGCTTTTGACATTTTCGTTGTTTCCCATATAAAGAACGAAAAACTTGAATCAAACAAAATTGAAGCGTGTAAAAGTAAAAAGAAAACACAAAAGATGTAACTACGAATCAGAGCAAAGATAAGACTCAGCTTGGGCTATTGTTTATACGGTCGGTAATATCATTTATTCAAAAGTTTGGAGATTTTATGACACGGCAACCAAAAAAGTGTGTCGATTTTTTGTTTGGGGATAATGTATTTGTGGATTTTTTTGAAACTGGGGATTTCATGACTCCCATTCAAGGAGAAGTTTCACTTCAGTCGCTCGTGGGATCCACTTACAACTTCACATTATATTGCGTACGGGGGGCGGTTTTCCTAAAAAATTTAGCCTTTTAGTATGATAGGATAGGATAATCTTTTCTGGGGGAGGTTTGTAGGCTTTTTAATACCTTTACAACGGTATATCATTTATAGCGAAAAAATTTTACTTTCCTGTTCAAAATCGCCGGAAACAAATTGAACTTTTTTCGGCCCTATGAAGTAATCTAAATCCTCACTACTGCAATTTATATTTCTTTACAGAACCTGCTATTTCATGGCGTCATGCGGTTTTATTTCCAAGATGCTGGACAAAAAGTCGCTACCAAATGCATTCGTGTGGCCTCTGACGCCACTGTCTCAGATGTTATTGGTACAGTTACTGTTGCGTTGATGTCAAATTTAATATTTAATATGTTTTCCTTTTCACCGACTCTAATTTTATTTCGTTGCAAATGATTTTCTGCAGATACCCTAATCGAAAAATTTCGTCCCGACATGCGTATGCTGTCAGTGCCAAACTACGCCCTCTATGAGGTACATGCGAATGGCGAAGAGCGCCGCTTGAACCCTGACGAAAAGCCTTTATTGGTGCAGTTAAATTGGCATATCGATGATCGTGAAGGTCGTTTCTTGCTCAAGAATATTGACCAAAAAACTACGGTAAGCAAAAGTAATAAAAATATGTGCGCAAAATACGTGTAAATTATACTTGTATGGACAATAATTACACTGTGAGACAAATGGTAGGGGTCAGTGATCGGGAAGGGTTCAAACTACCGGGGAAAGTTATATTGGTAAAAAAGAAGTTATACGTGTCCCGGCGTTTCGCTGGGTCACGTCTAGGAATCGAGATATATCGATTTGAAGTTAGTAACTATCATATAGGGGAAATTGTCACCTTTTTGTCTTTTTTTTGACATAACTCGAGAACCACTAGTCCGATTTTGCTCAAACAAATTAAAAAAAAAAATTAAAAATTACAATTGCTTTAATCTGTTCATATAACGTTTTTCTATATAATCAACAGTTTTGCCGGTAAAAATAAATTAGGCAAAACTAATTTTTTTTTTCTTCATACATTTATTTTTACCGGCAAAACTGTTGAGTATATAGAAAAACGTTATATTAACAGATTAAAGGAATTGTAATTTTTAATTTTTTTTAATTTATTTGAGCAAAATCGGACTAGTGGTTCTCGAGTTATGTAAAAAAAAAGACCACCAAAGATGACAATTTCCCCTATTTCCTAGACGTGACCCAGCGAAACGCCGGGCCACGTATAACTTGTTTTTGACCGATATAACATTTCCCGTTGGTTTCATCCCATCCCGATTTTGACTGTCGCATAGTGTTATGAACTACTTCAACTCGCTATCCTAATTCTTGTATCTACATTTTACGAGTGCTTGTATCAACTTTCTTGAATTCGTTAACCACGAACTACAACTCACTCGGTTTAAAACTAATCTAAATTCACGTTTTTTTTCTGCATTCCTACCTAGCCAATCGAACAGTCAGATATGAATTTCAAACGAAAACTTTCTAAGAGGGAAAAGAAAGAACAAAAAAAGAAAGAAAAACTCGCAAAATTAAATTCTGAATCGACATCTGGCGGCTTTAACGGAGGAATTGCTAACGATTGTAGAGAGGGTGAAACTCAAGTGGCTGGAAAACTTTACACCGAACTGCCAGAGACGTCATTTACTCGTTCGATTTCCAATCCAGAAGCTGTTATGCGTCGGCGACGACAACAAAAGCTTGAGAAGAAGTTGCAGCAATTCCGATCACGTGATGGCGGGCCTGACACCGGTGGGACGCTAAAGATTTACGGCGAGAGCCTATGTCAAGATGTTCCGTACAAAACGTTATTACTTTCTATACGCGACTGTGCTCAGGCCGTCGTTCGGGAAATGTTGTCAAAATATGGTCTGGACAAAGCTGATCCTTTACACTATTGTTTGGTGCAGGTTTGAATAAATTGTATACAAAGCGAAGAAAACTAAATTAAATAAATAATGTTCCTTTGTTGTAGGTGAATAGCGATGGAACGCAATACATTCTCGACGATGATGAATGTCCGCTCTCCATACTGATGAACCACCCAACATCACGAGGTATGTACTGCGATATATTTGTAGCTCAGAGAAGTGATATTACGATGAAATCCATGCTTATGCATAAGTATGTGTGTATATATGTACTATGAATATCGTATGCAGGGATATACACATGTTCATACACATATACATACATATAAGCAAGATAATTTGTGAAACAACTACAATGATAGACGCACGATAGTTTCATTCATGAGTTCCCCTATTTCTTCTCTATTGAAAAAATAAATTTGCCTATCGCAAGCATAAGATGGTAAACATCAATGAATATGTATATTTGTACGTATGCACAATATGAGCACATTTGAGTATTTTTCAAGAATTTGAAGTTGCCCATAGATTTATGCTGCAATATTTCCATACAATTAAGAAATGTTTTATCAATAATTATGGCTGGGCGGGAACAGAAGTACATATCGCACATTTGCTGCAAGAGTGTCATAATCAAAAAAATCAAAAATTCGGGAAAACGGCTTTAAAGTTTACAGTTTACATACGCTCCTATAGTAAAAATGAAAATACGTTTTCTTCTAATGAGCTATGGTTAAACGATACAGCCATGAAATTTTTACACAACATAGAAGAAGAGGTAGAGGTCGTTTATGTATACTTAACTAAATTTTTATTTTTTTCTTAGATTATGACACTCTTACAGCAAATGTGCGATATGTTGTCTACATGGAATGCCCATAAAAGCTTTTATGTATTGCATTTTTGTTTATATTTTTGGGAGACCTGTATCGCTTCCGTATAGTTTCTGTTGACTGGCCTGACTATTGAGTTGGTAATATTTGAACGTACATGACGCAGCAGTGAACAGAAATAAAGAGAGTTCGTGTTGAGTGGTTCGCAAAAATTGTGAAAAGTGATAACATTATATGAAATTCATTACTTCGATATGTTTGAATGGGAGTTTTAAGCACAAAAAAATGTTTAATGAAGATTTGAGCGTTTATATTATAAAATATTAAGTAAGTCAGTGATCTATTTGATTTTTAATTGAAAATTTAATAGTCAAAATTAATCAATATGTTTTTTCCATCAAGACCCGAACTTATTGGTTTGTTCCTTTGAACTTCGGACTAAAACTTGTGGAACTGTCAGACTACAATTTTACTCTCTCAAGTGTGTGTTAAAGGAGAACCGATGCAGAAGTGTACGGGAACGCAAAAAGCACTTTTTCCGCCAGTCGGTTCGTTTACATGTCATTGGTACAACACTGATTTGGCTGAAAGATCACTAAATAATTAATAAAATCTATGCAAATAAGAATAAATGCGTACATATTCAAAAATTTGTGGTAAACTTCCATTTTTTCTTGGCTTTCATCGCGTTCTGTTTTTTGTTTAAAAATTGAACCCTGCCTATAGTTTGACATTTTTCATGAATTTTCCAGAAGAAAAACTCCGCACTTCTGACTAGCAAAAGTTGCTCAGTTACTCTCTCAGAAGTGTTCCCAGTTATAGGTTTTTTTCAATAAGAATGACTTCCTGTAATTTCTGACTAAATCCTGGAAACCGGAATCGTATTGAAACAGACTATATGTCTGTAGTGATCACTCTCAAACCTACACTTGCTACACTATATAGCAGCCTAGAAAAACAGCAAACGATTTTCAAAAAGCGACCAACTTCGTTATATAAATTTCAATTCTAGCCGACAATAGCTTTTATAACAGAATGCTAGTGGGATTCGTGAAACGTCGGAAAGTTGTTGCAAATATCGCATTTGTTGCAAAATTTGATACCTTGCGCCACAGCTTATTACTTTTATATGAACACTCTTGCGACAAGTGCCATATTATTTGAGCTGACAATCATTGCAAAGTCAAAGTCGCGGAAAACATGTTTTTTTATTGTTCTCCAATACTTCAAGAAAAAGTATTTATATCAGTCAAGGCTGCTTCGAAATATAATTGTAAACATTTTTCGTTTTCCCTTATGCGTGGCGTTTTGAAAAAAATTCACATTTGCGATCCAGAGTTGCGATAGGTTATTCATTCAATATTGTTGCCATTTTGCAAAAAAAAAACACTTCAAAGTTCCATGAACCGTACTATTATATTTAAGCTTGTATTGATTTCATTAAATTACTTAAAAATTTGAATCAATAGGAGAGTCGAGGACATGTTATCGACTTCAATGTCTGTAATGTCTGTATGTCTGCCGCCAAAGCGCTCACATCATATTTTCATTCAAATTATATTACGTATTTTAAATTGTTAAATCAGATCCACCATAGCGGCTATATCTTTTTTACATTCAAATTATATACATATAGAGACTGTTAATTAAACTCCGCCAAGACGACCATAGCATTCCCATACCCTTTTTCCATTTGAATTATATTAATATGTATATCAAACTCAATAAGGTGACCCCGAAGAGCGTTCAAAATCCCGACTTAAATTTGTGACCTTGTAGACGACCACATGCCAAACGACAATGAGCAAATATTTCAAGACGCAATTGCTCCATTTCATGTAACACGGCTGGCAGTTACGCCACCATCGTTTTGGAGTTCGGACTCACGCTTATGGTTTGAGCAGGTGGAGGCTCAATTCGTGCGAGCAGGAATTTCCGCAGACAAAACTAAATATTTCACAATTGTGGCTAAGATGAATTTAGCAGTACTGGCACACGCTAGCGACATTATTTGGTCACCATCCTTTACCGGCAAATACGCGTTGAAACAAAGGTTTATTGCAGAGTTTGGTGAGGCCATCGAGAAAAGTCCCAGACGGTTATTCGAGAACTCTGAGTTAAATCAAAAGAAACGTACATTGTTATTGCGCCAAATAATGGACATAGCGAATCAACAGCTGGTAAAGAGATGGTGGAAACCCGATAATATAATAACAATTCCGGCATCAGCGTCGACGCCGTCAGTACATCAAGCGACGATATAACAGCAAACATTTCGGAATTGGTAAACCGGCTTAAACGACATGATATTGTGGGTAAGCAGCAGCGCAGTAAAGCACCTCCGCAACGTTCACGACCAGTCACTACATGCAGAGAGGCAGCATGATCTACACGACGTTTTCTTCTGGCATCATCGCTTGTTGGGCTAAAATACAGCACGATGCCGACCGCCATGTGTTTTCTGGCATATGCGCTTGGAAAAATAGTCGGCCCTTCATTTAATGCGGCGGCTTCGGAGGACGACATGAGTTCCAGTCGCCTTTACGTTTTGGATAGAACGTCCTCAGTGAGATTGCTCATCGATATGGGTGCCAAACTGTCGGTCGTGCCCAAACGTCATGATGAAAGTATGCAGCCCGCTGCCATGAAACTGGTTTTGCAAACAATACTGCAATTAATGCTTTTGGTAGACGACATACCACTTTAGATCAGTGGTCGGCAAAATTGGTTTAGGGAGTGTATTGGCGGAGTAATTTCGCTGCACAGTGGTGTAAAAAGCGATGTGTGGTTATCAGGTTATGTGGTTATATTTTTTATTCAGCTTACAATAATAAAATACACTACAAAATAATGATTTTTAACCAGATAACCTGATAACCAGGAAAGTGTGAACAACCTCAATGTAATGATTACATTATTATCATGGTTATTATTATGTATTACTTTTTATACGATTACTCAAAAAAATTTTAACTAAGGAAATTTCAATATTAAAATTTTTGCCATCTTTATGGCTTTATGAATAAAAAAAAATATTTTTGGTGATTACACCTTTGGCTTTGATCGCGCTAAACGGGATAGGTCGACGAAACAACACCCCTTTACTGAACGGAGCCCAATCCTCTCCCCGACGAAATCAACTGCGACCCCCTTCATCACCTGGACTTCCGACATTCAAAAACCCTAAGATATTAGGGGTTACCTTTGACAGCCTGCTCTCCTTCTCCGCATACACAACTGCAGTTGTCAATAAAGTACGGAACCGAAACAAAATCCTTAAGTTGCTCAAAGGCAGCACCTACATAGGCAAATACAAAGAAACTGTGTTAGCAACATAAAAGGCAATTGGCTGGCCAGTTCTGAAATATGCTTTACCTGTTTGGTCGCCGGGGACTAGTTTAGAACAGTGGGTGAAACTGCAAACTTATCAGAACGTCGAACTCCGGATATTTTAGCCGCCAAAACAGCTGCTTATCCAGACACAACCCCGATATCCCCAATGTGTGTACCCATGACACCAACCGACTCCCGCATTTAAGCGCAATCCTACCCAGCTAACACCCCCCCCTTTCTCTGGTTCAACACGTCGAAAAAGCTCGGTTCAAGGGCTGACCGTTAGTTGAGCTTGACGACAACGATTGATGGACAAATCGGCTTAGGCGGAGCTTAGTAGTGCCTCTACAACAACAAATATAAAAAGACCGTCATCGAAAAAGAAAAACTATGATGGTGACCTGACTAGGAGTCGAACCTAGGCCCTCATGTCCATGCTGGTATATGGCGCAGAAGCATGGCCAATGACAACACCCGATGAGTCAGCACTTGGAGTATTCGAGAGCGAGATTTGTTAGAAGATTTACGGGCCCTTACGAATTGGAGACTACGAGTACCGTAGACCAGGTTCGGCGGACCTTTATCATATACGTGCCATTATTTCCAAAGAAACATTCAATGTAGCCATGACGTGCCAATAAGGAATCGTGACTTATCACCGTTCTTGGAGACATTAACTGACACATAAATCGTACAGAATTTTTTTTAAAAGAACGTCTCTTAAGGCGGATTCATTGTTCTAGTTCTGAATTTTTCTTTCTATTTCACTGGGAGATAAACTATAAAGCAACAACCCTATGGAAGAACAGTTCTGAACTAAAACGATGTATCCGCCTTTAACAGCCGCAGTAACAGTCGTTTAATGATTACTTAAGGTGTCCCTCAGTAACTATCTGAAAAAATTCCCTCTCACAGTCAGTTAATGATTCGTCAACGGCATTTAATGAACATTAAAGTTAAGTAAACAAAAACCTTTACTTAACTTTTTAACGAACGATTTTGAAATTTTTTGTTTGTTCT